CTTGTTTGGAACCTGGAGAATGCTTGTACTCTGAATTGTAAAACTAGGGGCAAATAAGAAGAAAATTTTTGGAAACATTTTTCCCTCCTTTCTGTAAGGAGCTCTGGTGGTGTAGTGCCTAAGGCATTTGACTGCTAACCAGAAGGTTAGGGGTTCAAATCCACTAACCACTTTGTGGAAGGAAGACTGGGCAATCTACTTCCGTAAAGATTTACCAACTCAGGAAACCAAAGAGGGTCACTATGAGTCAGAATCAACTCAATGGCAGTGAGGTCTTTTTGAGTTTTAAGGCTTTCATTTTGGTCTTTTTCGAATAATAACGAGGTTTGTAAGGGCAGTTATCTGAGTATTGCACATAGTGGGTAGTAATTTTGTGGCTATCTCAATATTAGATATGATAAAAAAAAAAAGACTAAGTGAGGTCAGTGATAACTGCCATTTAAGGTACCCTTAGTTAAATAAAACTCATAAAAGTATAAGCCTCAGGAAAAGCATGGGTTGTAATTACAGTTTAAATGGTAAAGCATGTAATGATTACGGAAACCCATCACCAATTTTTTCAAGTTAATTACTTACATAATTGCAAGACTGGAGACAGGGAGAGCAAAAAGGAAATGAGCTGGGAGTTTGGAGAGCTTGTAAGGGATGCTTGGATACCCATAGATTAGGAAATAGAGCATTTAAGTTTCATTTAACTAAATCTCCAAGGTCTGGATTATATGCATTTGTGTGTGACAGACCGTTTATGTGGGTGTGTACATGCGTATATCTATCTATATGTCTGTAAAATGGACTTTAATTGAACACAAAAATCAATTGAGCTCATAAAGAGATTGACAACATTGTTTATTCAGATGAATCAGAGTTATAGTTTCAAACCAGAGATTCATTTACAGGAATGGAGTAAATCCACAATGTAGTCTAATCACTCAGCTGTAGAATGCACATGAGTTCAGAGTGTTCTTCTTAAATGATTTTTTTAAGGTTGACTGTCCCAGTTAGGGAGGAAAACAATGACTGAGTAAAGGCTGAGAAAACTGGCATAATTTAAATTGAGACACATAACTGAAAGGAACACTGAAAATGAAAAAAAAGGAAAGAATATAAGTCAGAAATTGAAAATAATTAGTATTTCAATTCACTTTAAAAAACATGAGTTAAACATCTATGAGTATAAGCCTTAAAGCAACAGACAATAGAATGAGAAGTGAGAGTCTTTTCCTTCTAGCAGTTTATAGTTTACCATAAATAGAACAAAGTATTGATGGGTGCTTGTTAGAAATTGAGAAAAGCAGAAGTAGATGGGGCTACTTTCAGGGTTCAGTCTTGGAAAGGTTCATGTTGCTTAGGTCCTAAAATAGACAGTGTTTATAAAAGGAGAGATGGTATCAGAAAAGAAAAACTGAGAACTCAAGAGGAAGATAGAAGACAGATTCTAGTAGAAACACCATACGCCAAATTTTAGCTGTTAAGGTATAAAATGGTTTGAGAGCCTCCCCCGCCTCAAAACAAAACAAACAAACAAAAAAACTACCCAAACTCACTGCCATGGAGTCAACTGGACTTGTAGAGACCCCTCCTTGGGTTTCCAAGGAAGTATCTCTACAGAAGTAGATTGCCCAGTCTTCCTTCTGAGGAGTGGCTAGTGGATTTGAACCTCCAACTTTCTGGTTAGCAGTCAAATGCCTTAGCCACTATACCACCAGAGTTTCTGAGGGGTTGTTAATGAGGTGATGAAATCCATGGAGGTTCAGGAAGAAATAACATGAAACTGAAGAAACTGTCTGCATTTTTTTTCCTGAACTTCTTTATCTCCAAATTAAGTAAGTTTCTAGACTTCTCTCTCAACGACAATTCTTCAGACTGTTAGTTATTTTATTATGTTAGTTAGTTTATTTATATTAACTCACTGTTAAGTTATTTTGAATAATTACCTAGTAAAGGTCTAACTTAAGCCATAGTAGAAGCTCAGAAGTCTGTGTACTGTAGAGATGTCACAATCAACATATACCTAGATCAGGAAAACACACTTAAAATACACAGCTCCAGATGACCTTAAGGTGGAAGATCAACACATGGAGTTTATCAAAGTCTCTTCATTAGTTATTTTGAGAGCTAGGTAAAAGAAAGAATTCATGATAACAATCACATAGAATAAAAATAGTAGATCAATCTTCTCAGAAAAGTGCAAAAATTCTGTCATTAAAGACATTATTTGGGTTTTGCTAAAATCCTTTTTAGGAGTGAGTATCCACATAGCCTCCTCCTTCTTAAAACAAATTATTTAATTGACTTTTCTGTAGCATGAAGGTATGGTGCTAAAAAGGAAAGGAGTGAAAGATGAAAAACAATACCAATTAGCAGTCAGATAAAATTTATCTATATCATACTTTTACCAAGGACAAACATTATACTCTCCCTCATTGCCTTCCCAAGAAAAATAAAGATGTATAATCTATTTTATTTTTAATCATTTGCCATTAGTTAAAACACTTTCTTTTAATTATTTCTGATTTTTCATATATTTAAAACAGTTCTCATGTTAACAACTGATAGTCAAGTGATATGCTTAAAATGGATTACCATTACCCACTCTCACCCCGTTTATTTTCAAGTTACCAGTGACTAGGGATATATTTTCTCAATATGCTTCTGAACCTCTTGTACTGAAGAAATAGCCACTTGAGGAAAAGAGGAAACATACTTTCTTTTTATAATTAGACATCACACACACACATACATATACACACACACACTCTCTACATACATATATACACACACACAAACACATATTCTTTGTGTTTTCTGTACAATAGCAGAGAAAACAATTTAAATATCATAATAAAAACAATATATAATTTCTTAATTTCTTCATTAATGTGATTTTAAAAGATTTATTCACAAACATGCTCTGGTCGGTGAAAACAGGCTTCATTCTCAAAATTCTAACGTGATCAGTTAAGTACAAATAAAGAGACTTTTTAAATGTTCCTTGTGCCCCCTAATGGTAGGAAAGAAAAACCTGTTACTTGTATAAATTTCACATTTCTTTGCCAATTAATCACTTGCCCCAGGTGAGTAGTGTTCAGTGTTGTGTTTTCTGCAAGTTCACAAAGAAATTGAAAGTAATAAAAATATTAGCTATTGTTAAATTTCTGAACATTATATGAATGACTCTTTGCTATTGAAATAATTATTAAGTTTGGAATTAACCCCTTTTTGTAAATTTAAGGTAAAAATAGGTTAATCTCATATATATACATGTTGTCGTTGTTATGTGCCATCGAGTTGGCCCTGACTCATAGCGACCCCTCCTTAGGTTTGTGAGGCAGTATCACTACGGAAGTCAATTGCCCCATTTTCCTTCCAAGGAGTGGCGGGTGGGTTTGAACTGCCAGCCTTCTGGTTAGCAATCAAGTGCGTGCCTTAGGCACTATGCTACCAGAGCTCCCATATACACGTGTACACACACACACACACACACACACACATATATATTCATAATTATATATACATGTATATACCGTATAATGTAAAACACCTTTGTAGACATAAATCCAGATTGCTTTCTCAATTCTTACTACATGATTAATTTATGTGAAAATTTACGTGAGCTCTGGTAGCATAGTGTCTAAAGCACTTGACTGCTAACCAGAAGGCTAGCGGTTCAAACCCACCAGCCACTCCTCGGAAGGAAGATGGGGCAATCTACTTCCGTAGTGACACTGCCTCGGAAACCCAAGGAGGGGTCGCTATGAGTCGGGTTCCACTCGCCGGCACATAACAACAACAACAACAGATACTTTTACTTTCAGATATTCACATTCCTAGTAGCATCCTCTTTTAAGATCACTCCATATATTATGAAATACCTAATCCAATAAGAAAGCTTCACTCCAAAGTCATTTGAGCAATTTTCTTCCAAGAACTGAGAAATGGAATGAGTGTCATTGTAAAACTCATGAAATACATGAAGATACTATCTTAGAAAAATGTGGATAATTTAGGATTTTCTGTTCTGGAAGTACAATATTTTAATGGTAAGAAGAGGTCTATAGTAGGAAAAGAAAATCGGTGCAATGGTGACCATTGAGAGGGAGATTATATGAAGAGTTGACTATAGCAATAGCAATGAATCAAAAGGAACATAGTAAGGCAGACTGAAAAAAAAGAAAAGGATTAAAAAACAGCACTCATTAGCACCACAACACACATTTCCATCTGCTACAACATAAATAATTTATTGCTGAATTCTATATACTTGAAATTGTTTTCTAAGCCATTCAACCAAAAGTTAGCATACAAAATTCAGCCATGCACTTAAAGTTACTTCAAATAAATCCTTTTAATTTTCTGAGGAGAAAAAAAAAAAATATCTTTTCTTTTTCTTAGAGCTACTTGTTTTCTTTTTATTGATTTCCTTTCTTTCTCTGGATATTTTCTCTTACTCCCTGCATTATAAGCAATTTTCTATCTTCTACTTTTACTTTTCTCTTGTATTATCTAAAACAGATAGAAATTATTAGTACGTTATTCTCCAAATCAAAAATTATTTGCCCATAAGTTTGGGTTATCAGAAAAGCACCTTAACTATGGAAACTCTTTCAAACCTATAGAAACACTAATTTCACACATTTGTCCTAGAGATTTTGCTTACGTATTAGAGATAGAAAGATATAACTTCACAAAATCAAAATGAAAACTTTTTGGAAAGGAGGAATGATAAGAAAATAGGGGAAGAATGGTACTGACAGTTCTTTTTCAGCATCCTCTATAGGGAAGTGCTTTTCAATGACTCCTTTGCGTCAGAAATCTGAAGCAGCAGCAGCAGTAATTAGGGAAGATTGTCTCTTTTACTCAAGGTTCAGACTTGAGGGAGGATAAGGGAGGTGGGGAGGAGTGGGAAGGGGAGGGAGGACACATCCTGAAGAGATAATCCCTGAACACTCATGACATCATCCTCCTGCTTATATATTTAGGGGATGGCCAGAGCATCTCTCATAGTTCAGTCAAACTCAAAGTCAGCTGAAGGCAAGAGAACGCCTCAGAGACAGCCTCACTTCAGTGTGTCTCTGACATTTATGGACTTGGTTTGCTAGACGGGGGAAGAAGATGATGGCAGGAATGAAAATCCAGCTGGTGAGCATGTTACTGCTGGCTTTCAGCTCTTGGAGTCTGTGCTCAGGTAAGTCTAGCTGCATTTCACAACTCTCTGAACTGATTTATTTGCCTTTCTCTGAGTATATTGTTACCTATGCTAATGAATGCAGGGAGAAGAGCTTCTCCCTTATTCTAGGTATGCTTTTTACTAATAAAAATGAATTAGTTCCTTTCTTGTCTTTATGAATACACTAGCTGGAAGATTTATTTACCCTTTTCAAGTCTGCAAAGAAAACAGAAGGATTTCAATGAAAACTTTCAGGTCTTGCTTTGGAATGTAACCACTGTGGGGAGGGGGACACAAACTTAATTAGACTGTCCATTATCTAATCGGAAGTATAGAAGCAGTGCCTGTCAAACTAAACACAGACTCGTCATTTAAACCTACTCCATTCAAAATGATTTATATTTAGTCACTCTCTCAGGAAGTGGTGGCTTCTCTCTCTGTCACTCTTAGAATTGTGCCCAAATATGTTTCAATTTTTTGTGCTGAATAAAGTGAAAAATATGTTTAATGAATAAATGAATAAATAATTACTTACAGAAAATCATATGTAGAAAAATACCCTACTGCTTTCTCAGACTACATTTTAATATGGTCTATAGGATAAATTGATGTGCTGACAATTTAGTACTCATTCATTTTTGCTTGTCATTTAAGTTACGAAAAACTATAAGGAGACAATTAGTGTTCTTACATTATAAGAAATTATTTGACTTTGGAGTATTTTTCATGTGATAATTAAGGAGAAGTTTTATATTGCTAAGTATCAATAACTCACCTTAAAAATCAGATTTAAATCTAAAAGAGTAACTAACATAGAATATAATGATGGAAATGTGCTCCAACTAATGGTTGCAAAATAATTGAATGATTTCATACTTCAAAATGAAAAAAATACTCTTTTGGGAATAAGTGCAGTAAAAATCATTTACCCTGTTTTTTAAACCTCATAAATAAGCCATACTGAAAAATTTTCATGTTTTCATTTTTAAAGTTAGAATTTAAAATTTTATTAAACTTATGAAATGAAATATAGTGAGATTATGTGACTTATGCTAAAGTTTTTAATTTATCTTAATAATTAGAAAAGAACTTTATAATCTGAATTTTGTCATTTTTTTGTATATAAATACCAACTTGTCTATACTTATGGTATCAACTACTTATATGAGACCATCAAAGTATGAGAGAAGGCCTAAACACTTTCTTTAGTAACTCTTGAAACCACCTGATATCTTATGTCAAAATATATGGGAATTTCAATATACACTGCTGATAATTGACTATATAGAGTCTTCATGCCTTTTAAAAAGCCTATTAGGTTTATAACAAAAAGGGGGGAAAGATTGCTGGCATACTTTTGCTCCTAGAGACAGTTTTACAAATGATTTCTCCAAGTATCATATTTCTTTTTAATAAGAATGTATAGTTAAGGAAAATAGAATCATGTTTACTTCTGCATTTATATAGATCAGTGAGTGTAAATGAAGCTATTATAGTGTTCTCTATTTTTATTTGCATTACCTGATTTTCTAAATTTGTCTTCTCTGTAAAATATCCATTAGCAAAAATTGGAGGGGATATTCTAAACAATTCAGAAATCCATTTCCAATACTATTGTGCATGTGTTAATGGCAACTTCAGCTCTGCTTTCAATAATTTCCTTACTTGCCTGTCATGAAATTGCAGTTAAGTGTACATAATTCCAAATTTTTGTTTAAAATGGAAAAGCAATTCTGTCAAAGCGAGATTTGTAAAACAGCATCTCTAGTTAAATAAATTCTGGTATTATTCTCAAATTATCAGTGAGCAATTCCTTTTTTTTCCCCCCCTTCTTGATAAGAAGGCCTCTTGTATGCAACATTTCATTGTTTCTTTAGAAATAACATCATATACATTTTTATATATGTAAGATATGGTAAAAATAAACTACCTTAGCATACTTGATGAAAGTTCTATTGTAAAATACAAACTTTTTTTTAAAAAAAATTGTTTTGTTTCCAACTGAAATTCAGAGATTTAACTTCAAATCATGAATAGATTTCTTGGAAAATGACCATGTGATTATTTTCTTAGAAACACTTCTAGCTGCCGATTAGCCTAAAACAAAACAATTATTATAATTTTCTGAAATTATTTAAGGAGAAAAATTCGTAGGAAAGATAATAAGCCTCTAAGAACTTATTTTTTGATTAATTTAAAAACTATAGGTTACAATATGATATATGATTCTATAGTAAACATGTGGTTTTGATTTTATTCAGATTCAGAAGAGGAAATGAAAGCGCTAGAAGCAGATTTATTGACCAATATGCATCCATCAAAGGTAAGTTTTTCTTTGTTTTAACCAAGGGTTGAAGAATATATGAACTTTCATTATAAACATGATACCCTTTTCCTATAGTAATAACTTCTGGTCAAGACTGAAAAATTCATTGGGAGGCATTTCCTTTTTTGGCAACTTTTCCTGGAGTTCAAAGGAGTTAAGGGTGTTGATGTGACAGAGCAAGAAACTAAAATGACTATCACTCAGCATATTACTACTTTAATTAAAAAGTTACATATTATTCATGTCAACGTGTATGTGTATTTAAAGGAAACTTGTTTTCATCCTTATTATGTCATGTATGATGAAAGGTATATTGGCTTCAAATTAAATGCACAAATAAAGCTACCTGACTTTTCTGCTTTATTATTATTATTATTATTATATTGGGGAAAATAAAATGGGGTTCTTAAATTAAAAATGAAAGTACATGTCAACCCAGGAAGGAAATGTAGAGAGTAAAGAGTAATAGTTTGGCAAACAGAAGCCTTGAGATCTAATCCTGTAACCATGATTTATAAATTATGTAATGTTGAGCATGTGGGTTAGTTAACATGGCTTACACTTGCTTCCTTATATTTAAATGTGGGGTTGAAGTTCATGATCTCCTAGACATTTATAGTTCTATAACATGATTTAGAGTTATTAAACTTTTTTTTTTTTTTATATACCTAGATTAAATACTCTCTGCAACAGAATTTCTACCTGTACTTGCTCATGGTTTTTGCTGAACCAAATAAAACTCTGCGTCCTGGGCTCTATTGCTTTGTCTTTGGTTTTGAAAACAAGTTTTCTAGGTCTCAATCTGTATGTAGAAACAAATTCATTCAGAGTATTTGTGATTATTAGGTTGCCAGAAAATACTGATATACCCAGCGTGACTCAATCCATGTGCATCTAAATATAGGGCCAGGTGCAAGTTCCCAATCAAAAGATGTTTCTTAAAGAAAAAGAATTTTAAAGTGAGATAGTAACCTGGTGGGGTTACAGTTATAATACTGCTGTTCTATGACTAAAGACCCAGCAGATATTCTGGTAATAAATAAATGTGCCTGATTTCTGAAGCAATATGCCAACCGAATTTCTGTCTCCTCTAATTTCTCTTCCCTAATTCGACAAATATGTTTTAGGTACAGTGATCTCTAGTATATATGTAGAATTATGTTTGATAATGAATGCAAAGAAAAAAAATAACCTTGTTGTGTGTGTGTTTGAGTGTGTGTCCATTATTGCCTCAAAGCTAAAAGGATGTGCTTTCTACTATGGTCCTTAAAATATATTTTGGGAAAATATAAGCATATATATATTTTTCAGGGAGCTCTGGTAGCATAGTGGCTAAGACACTTGCCTGCTAACCTGACGGCTGGCGGTTCAAACCCACCAGCTACTCCTTGGAAGGAAGGTTGGGCAATCCTACTTCCATAGTGATACTGCCTTGGAAACCCAAGGAGGGGTCGTCGGGTTTGACTTGACGGCACATAACAACAACAACAACATATATTTTTTATAATCCAGCTTTCAAACATTTGGTCAGATTAAAACCCCATATTACCATAATTTGATTATATGGTTTCATATAAAACCCACTGCCTTTGAGTCAAATCCAACACCTAGCGATCCCTATAGGGTTTCCAAGGTTATAAATCTTTCCGGAAGCAGACTGTCTCATCCTTCTGTGGAGCAGGGAGTAGATCCAAACCACCGATCTTTTGGTTAGCAGACTAATGTCTTAACCACAGCACCACCAGAGCTCCATTGGTTTCATATAAAGAGTAATCATTTAATTTAGTGATTAATAATTTATGACCAAATATATTTAATCTTATGATGACAGATCTTTTGCTGAGCACTATAATCACTGCACCTTATAAATAGGAAGAAAATTGGGAAGCAAATAGTCTGTGTTAGAAAATGAGGTAGGCTAGAAAGCCTTGGTGTCTTGGTGTAGATTTTATATCTATAATTCCAAGCATACATTGGGCACATAAAAGTCTTGAATGATCTTCAAAGTGAATACATAGCAGTAGAGTTGTGATTACTTTCCTGGCCAGAATTTAGCAAGGGAAAAGTGATTCCAGTGTATAGTGTGGGTTAATGTATCTCTTAAGAAAAATACATAGCAAAAAGATAGGCATGATGAAACTTTTTCATTCAGGTATAAGATATATCTATAAAACAGATCATAGAGAAATATTTGAATATCAAATATTATGCCTCATATAATTATGCCTTTTAGTTGAAATAAGTAAACTATATTCTATGATGAATACAGACCCCAAAGTTTAATTATTTCAATTTTCCTGTTAGGATGGGAAAAAAAGTTCATTCCTTATTTTTCACAAAATTGCTTTTATTTTTCCAATTATTATGTGTATAGTTATATGAAAATGAAAATTCTAGGCTTATTACCATTTTAACCAAATTGCTACATTTAAAAATTCAATAAACACAGTATTAGGTCTTGGTGTGAACTTTGTTGTTGTTATGTGCCGTCGAGTTGGACCCGACTCATAGCGACCCCTCCTTGGGTTTCCCAGGCACTATCACTACGGAAGTAGATTGCCCCATCTTCCTTCCGAGGAGTGGCTGGTGGGTTTGAACCCCCAGCCTTCTGGTTAGCAGTCAAGTGCCTTAGGCACTATGCTACCAGAGCTCCCTGGTGTGAACTTAAGGCCTATTATTTAAAAGTTTCAGTTTTTA